GGGGGGGGGGAAGCTAGCTATAGACTAAGCCATCAAACATGTATGTCACTACATAGCCAAATACATACAAAATACTTAGTAGATAGAACCTGGTTATCCATTCAGATTTTAGCAGTCTAACCTCAGTATGAGCCCCAGACTCAGTCAGAGAGAAAATCCATGGCTTCAAGTTTTTACATTTCTGTTCGTTTGCTCTACGTTGAGGTTGAGTACTTTTAGTTCTGTCTGAACTAAGATCTGACTGTTAATTCTACAAAGTCTTGGAGTGGGAATTATACAGTCATGACTGTGATACTTCTAGGCATTACGATGTAAAGTGCAAGATTTCGGAATGATGCCATGAATATGTACTTTGGATCCATGCGTCAATGTGCATTCAGTTTCCATCTGTATCCATGTACATGTACATGATAGGTATAGTAAACATCTGATCATCTTTTTAATGCAAAACTTAAAATCAAAGTACTTCTAGTAGACTGTTGGATTATATTAAATTCCTATTTACTTGAATTAATTTTCACCTAATACAATGTCATGTACACCCAACAGTGTTTAATAATTTACATTTGAAAAGATGATCTGACATCTGGCTATCTGTACAATTCAACTTTTGTTTTCATTTTGATATGACAGCCATAATCATATGTACAGTCGTTTCAAAGTTAGCTGTAATTGCTATTATTGAAAGTCTACTGATACTATACCCATTTGGAATAATGACAGTTTTCATTTTAGGATTATGCTTTCAATCATAAACACATTTTCATCAGGATGTGCCCAAATTCAAAGATATTATCCTGTATAACTGAGGGATATTTCATAATCATAACACAATAAGGGCCGGAGCTTCCATGACTTTTCTGCGATATGTTTGCAAGTCTTTTTAGGATTATGCTTTCAATCATAAACACATTTTAATCCGGACGTGCCCAAATTCAAAGATATTATCCTGTATAACTGAGGGATATTTCATAATCGTAACACAATAAGGGCCGGAGCTTCCATGACTTTTCTGCGAAATGTTGGCAAGTCTGGCAAATTTCTGTCCATTATTAGATTAGTGAGGACGTTGATTGCTTGATTGGGATTGATTTCCACTGGCTGCTAGGAAACCTTGCCTGCGAGGAGACCACTCTGCCTAATCCAATTTTACGACTTTTCTGCTATTAGTGGTGCAGCAAATGTGCTTAATATTGCATTATGAACAGATCTCATATCTGGGGAAAATGCACAGATGGGTCTGTATGTGCTCTAGGGAGATATTTAGGTTAAGGTTAGACTTCCTTTCTTGCAAACTCAGCTTATTGTTTGCAAAGTTGATATGTTATCATGCTTATTGCACTGGACAAGCTCTGAGGTTGACTGTAGAGTTTGTACAACTGTGTGGCCCAAGGACAGAGATGGGCACTGCCCTACATGTATATACCTAAAAGTTGTGTGAATGCTTTTATGAATGCATTTATGGTCTACATTGTATTGCCTTGCCCTATTCAGCACAAGATCTATTACAATTTGATGTTCTGTATGACACATACATATGTGCATTTGTACATTGTCATGTACAATGTACACGTGCATGTACAATGTCTTTTTTCTTTCATTATTCTTTATTAAGGTAAAAAGAACCCATTACATGTACATACAACACATTCTTAAAATAATACAAAACTCTAAGGACATAACAATAATACAGATAGCCTCTTGATGTGTAGTAAATCGTAACTGTGTCAGAAGAATATTTTTTTGCTACAGTGAGTAAGTAAGTCAGCAAGTCAGGACTGTCTTACTGTTACATCTAAATGTTGCAAAAGCCGATCGCCCACATTTCTCCCAAGCGGCTAGAATATAGATGGCAGGCATCGCTCCTTGGCTCTCCCTCATTATGACAAGGGAGACATAGTGAGGGAGAAAAACAGGCCAGCTGGAAAATTGTCTGTTAAAGTGTGGAAAATTAGGCTGACCCCTGCAGCAAGCTTGGGAGAACAGGTGGACGTGGAGATTTTCGTGATGTCAGTCCCTAGATTTGTGGTAACCCTGGATGTCAGAAATTTGCAGCTACTTGTACAATGACATAATGTGACAAAAAAAACAGTTACGCAAGCAACTGGATATGATTTTGGAAGTTGCTTGTTATGAGTAACTGTTTTTTTGGCATATCTTATTACCTAGATGTCTAACCTTCACCGATATAACGACATAATGTACCATTAAAAAAGGTACAATTTACTTGTGGGTAACTTAAAAAGACAACAGGAAACATTTAACAGCATATTAACTATTTACAAATGACGTGTATATTATGCACAGCTGAGCTTCAAAATAAACCAAACGAACATTTTTGCAAGCTTTTGCCTTCTCTTTATTTTTAAAAAATTAAAACTAAGTGGTCAACTCAAAAAAAGGGGAGGAGTATCTAAAATTGCCAATCACTTTTCTCCGCATAAATGCCATAAATTGATTAGCAGACACTGTATGATAATCCTACCATCTGTAATGCCCACCCCCCGGTGTCAACCCAGTTGCCAGGTTAATGCTTTATTGGCTGGCTTGAGATAAATGGAAGAGATAACAAGATTGGGAAGTTACAGTGCAATAAATGAAGAAACATTTCTGATCAGATGGCATTCTGAGGGAGTTAGGGGGTCAGATATAATGAAAGATGTCTTTGATTGGGTGAACATTGACGTCAATGGGATCTGATGTAGGTACATGTACATGTATGTAATACTAGTACAAGCTTTGTGCCACTCCCTAAGACTGCAACAAGTATATGTCTTTAGATGTAGTAACTTACAAGATAACTTACCTGTACATATAGAACAAGTACAACACATGTAGACATTACTTATACCTCACTACATGTATAGATCATCCACTAATAATGAAATGAAAAAAAAAAATTTTTAAATAGTCACAAGCTATTCTAAAAGAAATTCTCACTTGTTGCCTCATTTACGGAGGATTTAGTTTTTGGTGTGCCTATTTGTTTTATTGTGTTTCTATAGTTATTTCTACATGATAGGCATGTCAGGGATATTGACAGAAAGTTAGGTCAAAGGCCCAAGAAAGATCCCAGAACAGGTTATTTCATTGCCTATTTTCATATTCCTGCTGAATGCATGCCTGTTGCTCTATGAGAGCCAGTGGGAAAATGTATACTGCACTTTACTCTCCAAGCAGAGGTTGATGGGGGAAGATCATTATAATTACCTTGGAGAGTAACTGCACTTAAGAAATTCACAACAAACAAAACAATAAATTCACCCCAAAAACATCTAAATACCTCACAGAGCTATGAGATCCCAGATTCCGTGTTTGGAAGTCCAAGACTGGCACTGTTGGATGTGTAATAAAATGTTGAAATGACCACAAGGAATCATTCATTAGGCAATTGTTCTGAGAGCACGTTTCCCCACAAAAATATCTGAATACGGTACAGAGCTATGAGATCCCAGTGTTTGGAAGTCTGACACAGGCACTGTTGGATGTGTAATAAAATGCTGAAATGACCACAAGGAACCATTCATTAAGCAATTGTTCTGAGAGCACGTTTCCCGTGTGCCAGGTGGGGGCCATAACGCAATCAGTCAGTATCGATCGGAGGGTCCTTTTGACTGATGAGGCAGTATGGGGTGCTGTTACAGCTAAGCTATCACAACACTTCAAGTCCTAATGAGATTTTCATTTACACATCTGGGTGACATAAAAAACGATACAAACCCGTAACAGAGAAACATTAGTTAAGCTTATGGCTGATATTGAATATCATTAATGCCGCAATTCTAGCAAAGTGTAATAGAATATTTCCCCCGCCTTGAAGAAACAAATCAAACTGCACTTAATCTTTTCTAAAAACAATTAGGCCACACCAATTTAATTTCTAGGTTAACGGATTCGCTGCTTCATTTTTTTCTGATTTGCAAATAAAAATAAAAATTCAGAATCAACTGCAAAATGCTCATATTTTGCCCTGAACAGTTGAAAACAGTCCTTTTCATCCTAGTTGTTACAGTTATTCCATCTTTCAATGCAATGGTATCATTAAAAGTTCAAAATTCATTGGTGTGTTGACTTCATGGCTCCTATCATGCCATTTTGGCCCATAATAGGATGCCTAGGCCTGTTTTTATTTTTATTTTTTATCGCCCGCCTGCTCCATTATTTTTCTAGAAAAATCTGTTAACCAAGAAATTAAATTGGTGTGGCCTTATGGCTGATATTGAATTTCATTAATGCCACAATTCTAGCAGAGTGTTTAGAATATTTCCACCTCCTTGAAGTACACATGTGTAACAGATCAAACTGCACTTAATCTTTTCAAAAAACAATTAGTTTCAATTATCGAAAACAACATTGTTGCATGGTGTAAAGTAGCATGTACAATATATTGATTATGTTATTATTAAGATTCAGAATGATGGTTTAGACTTAGAATATCCTCATTGAAAAATCAATTCAAGATGCCCTAAGTCTTTTCATCAGGAAATGACATATATTTATGGCAAAGACAGCATCGTAAAGTAGGATCTACACAGGATTCAAGATGCATCAATTAGTTATGACCTGTGAGCAGGCAAAGTTCCCGACGTGACTTTTGCGTCGGCCTGCCTCCAGTCGACATCTTTATTGGAGTCTGTGATCTACGGTTATGTGTGTGTAGTGGCCTGGAAATATCCAACGCCTCAGGCCCAACATTTGACTACTTGACATTTTCACTGATTCCTTCCCTTATCGCTGTGTTGCAGGATGAGGCGAATGCAGTGAAGGGGAGAATTCTCGGCATCTACCACTCGAGATACGAGCGACAATCCCGGGTCTGGAGCTGGCAGGGTGACATTCTCCCACGACTGACAGGCTGGCTGGACAAGCCGCATGCAAACGGTGCTAGTCTTTATGGAAAAGAGAGTCAGAAGGAACTGAGGAGTGGACCAGACTTGTACAATGTACATGTATATGCAGACTGTTTCTTAAAGGATTGGTGCTCAAGAGGAATTGCAAATTTGCGTAGGAGCCATAAATCTGCAGCAGTGTGTCTCTTTATCTGTGCATACGATCTCCCTGTAACTACATCAGACTGTAAGAATGAATGGCTCAGCTGCTTGGAACCGCCAATAGATTTATAACTTGGCTCTGCGAGGGGCTTTGGATGCTGCGCGATTGCATTCAGAGGGAGCGTTTTGACGTCAGACGGCCAGGAGTCAGCCAAGGCACCACACCGGCAGGCTGCAGATTTAGGAGGCACCCACTGAGACAGGATAGGGCAATTTGGCCTGCTACAATTTCCTCACAAGACGTGTTTATGCACGGAGCGCTGTACAGTCTGTGGCCACGCCTCCCTCTGAACGTTGTGTGAGTCTGTCACTGTCCTAAACGGACCTTATCGTATTGAATCGCAAAATGTTGTTGACAGTGCATTTGTCATAACGTGCGGTGATGAAAAACTGATATCTTCAAGGCAGACGGCAGAAGACTCGTCCCATTTTTGTTGTTTGAACAGGGTGGAACAGACTTGTATCTCCCGAGGCAGCTCTCTGCAGCAGTGACAGATACACACAACATGGCGCTTCACCTTTGTGTCACAGTGCTGGTACTTGCAGTATGTATGACAGCCGTGGATGCCTGCCCTTCAAGCTGTACGCGTGATCCCGTGTGGAAAGCCGTGGACTGCTCTCACCGGAAATTCCTGTCCATTCCCGAAGGAATCCCGGGCGACACGACCATGCTACACCTCGAGGAGAACAGCTTCCAACAGGTGAATCAGAGCCAGTTCGCCAACTACACCCACCTGCAGACCCTGTATTTATACAGCAATAACATCTCCTACATCGAGGCAGGCGCCTTCGCGGAACTCGAGCACCTCAGCACCTTGAGACTCTTCACCAATCACCTGTCCACTCTCGAAAACGGCATGTTTCGCGGACTCGCCAACCTAACCCTGCTGGACCTCAGCAGAAACAGGATCCTCACAATTCCCGACGACGTGTTTTCCAGCCTGCAGAACTTGGAGGTCTTGCACCTCTGGGACAACCAGATTATCTTCGTGTCGCTAAACGCCTTCAGGGGCCTCGATAACCTTCACCATTTGACGTTGGACGGCAACAACCTCACAGCGGTACCCACCCAAAGCTTCCAGACCGTCCCAAAGCTCGAGACGTTACAAATCCTAAATCTCCCCGTCACCAGCCTTCCCGCCTACGCGTTCAAGAGTCTTCCACACCTGAAGGCCCTGCACATAGGAGACTGGCCCCGCCTGGAATTCCTGTCACCGGAAGCGTTCGACGGGCTGGATCTCACCTACCTGTCTCTTTACAGATGCAACTTGCAGAGTCTTCCCTTCGAGGGGATACGCAGGCAGTGGGGGCTGAAACAGCTGCTCCTGTACGACAACCCGATCGCTAACCTCCGGCCGAACCAGTTCTACAACATGAGCCAGCTGGAAGAGCTCTACCTCAATGACATGCTACTGGACGTCCTGGACAGCGACATATTCAAAGACTTGACGAGTCTCATCAAGCTGGACATGTCCAGCAACTACTTCAAGAGCATACCCCCCACCCTCTTTCGGAAACTGCGGCAGCTGGAATACCTGGATCTGTCCTTCAACCAGTTGTCATACCTTCCCCAGCAGGCCTTCCAGAGCCTACACTCCTTACGGACAGTTCGTCTGGGTGAGAACCCTCTCCAGTGCGACTGCGACTTGAAGTGGCTGAAGGTTTGGGAGGGAAAGTTCACCGCGAAGGACATCACCGCGACCTGCTCCCGTCCGCTGAAGCTGCACGGTCTGCAGCTGAAGAACCTGAACGTGTCCGACTTCATCTGCGAGCTCCCCTACATCACCGGGTACTCCAAGGACGTGTGGGCGAAGGAAGGGGAGGACGTTATGCTGGAGTGTAAAGCGACCGGCTTCCCCCAGCCTAGAATCTCGTGGGTCACTCCGGACGGCCTCCACTTGGACCCAGACTCCAAGTACGACGGGAAACTGAAGGTGTCGAACGAGATCGTGCTTTACATCCAGAACGTTACGGACGCGGATGAGGGCGAGTACATGTGCCTCGCGAACAACAAGGGCGGAAGCGACAAGGTCAAGATCACGCTGACCGTCGGGGAGTACCCGTTCAAGCCGTCCGTGCTCCCGCGGGTGGCGGACATGCAGCCGCGCGTGGAGGACCACACAAAGGTCATGATGTCACGGACTCCGCTGAAACAAAAGAAGGCGAACCCTGCTCTCGTGGCGGGCGTAATCATCGCGGCCGCCGTGCTGATAGGCCTGGTGTTTGTGCTGGTGTACATCGTGAGGAAAGCGCCCATGGACAGGGGGTTAGCGCTGAGGGGGTCCACGTCCGAGGAGATGAGAATGCTGCCGAGCAGGGATCAGACAACCGAGAACGTGGCCCTCAGCTTCATCGAAACAATAGCATGACACGAGAAAGACAACCACTACTTAGTGTGTAACAACATTTACTGTATGAGTCATCTTGAGATGGGAAAGATTTCTGTAAGCAACTGTACAAGTTATCTTCAGATGGGAAAGGCTTCTGTATGCAAGGAATGACACATGCGGAAAGGATGCCAAAATCGGAACATCGAAGGGTCTGTGCAGTCAAGAGACTGGAGAGTGGTCGACTTCAATGGCACAACGTTAACGCAGCTAGGACAAGTGTGGTCAAACTGACAGAAATGTACATAAACGTACATGTACCAGTCCCTGTACAAGAAAAGTGCGTGTAGCTGTCTTGTTTCAAGACAATGTTGTACTTTGAGGCAAAAGAAGCCAATGTTATGTCATTGTATCTGTTAATACTAGCTGCAGTGATGAGTGATACCTGAAAGGCAAAACTGTACTGTGTAGTTTAGTCAGTGACATAAACTGAACAGAAGATATTACCATAAAGCATACACAAGTTTTTAGATGACAAATTCTGGGAAATACAGTGGCATAGAAAGCCAAAAACTTTTCCAGATCACTGTACATTCAGACAGTTCCGAAACACAACCGAAAATTGAACACTGCTGAGTTTACTGAGAAGCAAGTCTACTACCTACATTTTATAAAAGCAGTTTTTGGACATGCCAGCTTGCAACTACTATCTACTGTGCATCCATGGCTGTACAGGGAGATAGTCTGTGGTAAATTAATATGCTACATTATGTTTTTACAAGATCAGGTCATGGTTGACAAATGGCAGGCAGATGAAAATAGGGTCAGTACCAGACAACATTCTCAGCCAGTGCTGACATGACTTATGGTGTCTTACATGTGACTTTAGCATTAAAATATTCATACAATTTGTTATATCTCTGCAAGCGCTCAGATAGACCTGACCGAGAATACTCTGAGGGAACTTCTGTCTACACCTTATCTGTGTCAGTCGTGAGAAGACTGTCAATGTAGGAACCTATTTCTTACAGAAGTGGAACTCCACTGAGAGGGAGGGATTTTTGTGTTTAGGTATTCAAACTGCACGCAGGCTGGAATCAGAAGAGAACACTATTACAGATACAGAACAAATTGTCAGTCAGCATCCACCGTTTGAGCAAGAAGAAGCCAATGTATCTGTTAATACTAGCTGCAGTGAGTGATCTCTACTGGCAAAACTGTACTGTGTAGTTTAGTCAACTACTGTGTAGTTTAGTGACATAAACTACACAGTATAGAAAGCAAGTTTAGAATTCAAACTGCACACAGGCTGGAATCAGAAGAGAAAACGTATTACAGATACAGAACAAATTGTCAGCCAGCATCCACCGTTTGTTTCAATGAAATGACACTGACCCCGCAACATGGCCGCAAAATGCATTACGGCCTGCCGAACACGACGTTAGAGTGACAGTTGCAAATGTAACAGCTGGAGGAGAGGCCAACGCCGGGTCAACGTCAATTTACAGCCCTTCAGACTGATCAATACACTCCTCCGTCCATCAATCTCCGAGAATTACAGGGGAACATCCGACTGTCAAAACACTGGAGCATCCTTCAATCAATTATGTTGCTGCGCAGAAAGACTTCCACTTAATACGAAATTAAGACGGATGACCTGCAGGACTTGAAATACTAGGTTTAGTGCACCTTAGTGCACCCAAATTTGATTTTAAGCTGTGCACACAATTTTTTTCCATGGGAGCACCAGTGCTCCAAAGTATTTTCATAGGTTTATGTATGTAAAGATGTTAAATGTACAGTGGTATGCAGCATATTCATAACACCTTAGTGTCAGAAAAAATTAACTAAACCATTGTCGTAGTACTTTTCTTTAGAAATGAAACATAGTTAGTAATTGCTGACATTCTACTTATTTTATCTTATATGGTACACCCAGAAAATCCAGTGCACCTATTCCCAAAAGTGAATTTCGAGCCCTGACCTGTGTACAGGAATTGTACATCTAGTGATGCTGTGCTATCTTGTCTTGTACAAAATATTAAACTGTTGTGCTCTGCAGTGTTATGTTCTGTCAGCCGCAAATTGTGTTTTATTAGATTTAGAAGGAAACTTGTCAGCCCATCTGGAATGAGGCATTTTATATTACTGAGGATTCGGTGTTCATTACAAGTGTGGTGACTACAGCAACAAGAAACCTTGTGATCTTGTACTGATTGTAATATTACTGGTATACTGAAGACATTATCGGTCACTTCAATGATGTAGTTACAATGTAAACGTACTGTCTGTTGTAGTATCAGAACAACAATAACAAAAGTGGTGACTACATCAACATTCATTCCAAGATGATACAACAATGTTGTGATTTTAAGTTTATGCCTGATAAACTTGTACAAGAGAGTCAATGTTTGTAAAAAAAGAATTTGATGAGTGCAACCATCACATCATACATGTATGTCTTCATTCCTGCAGAAGAGTTGATATCAAAGTTTATAGCATTTATATGATAGGTGGGGAAAGGTTCACTTCAGTTTATTTGTCACCGTACTGACTTGTGGTCGCCATCTGAAATCTGGATTATCTAGACACTCCTGTTGTGAAGTGCTTTTAGTTTTACAACTGTATATTCTACATCACTAAAGGCTGAAAGCTGAAAATTCTTTTGGGGCATTTGGCTGTTACATTACTCTATTTCGGTATTCTCTACGTGTACTGATACATTTGTACCATAATGAGACAAACGTCATCTTTATTAACAGTTTTTCACACAATTCTTTGACAGCAGATGTAAATTAGAAGTTGTTGGACAAAATCGATAACTGATCGTGTTCTGTACAAATCCAGATTTGACCTCGTTGTCGGGTGACCTGTGACCCTCACACAACTGTTTCCTAATTGTCAAGATGTTATTTAATCAAATAAATGGACTCAATAAAGGCTGGTGTTGTGTTCCTGAATATTTCCAGTCTCATTAGTATCACCTTTGGGAAACTGCAATGCTTCACTGCAATTAAAGGGATGACAAATTCATCTATGAACAATGATTTTAAACCGTGCATAAGGCTGCTGAGGGACAGTCTCAATTTTTCTCTTGTTTTTAACAAGCAGGCAGGGGCAGAGGGGGCCCACAGGAACATAGCTAATATTTCTCGAGATACAGTAGTAGCAGAGAGATATCTACATAAATGAAGCCAGCACTTAACAAGGAATGGCAATAAATAGCAGCGAATTTGCACCAGTATGAAATACCAGTTCCGCTGTTAGCTGTGCAATGATTAACTGGATGTCAGTGAGGCAACCATTAGAGTGGGAGATTTGCGTCATATCCGCCTTCACTAAGTAGAGCACGATCTATAATATGCCGGGAGCTTACGCATACATATTCAGCGTAACGAAAGCCATTATTTTTATGATTCTTCTCAAGGACACACTCGGCCACGGTTCATACTCGAACGCAGAAAAGATCCATATCCAAGGACATTTTGATGATTTCTACCCCAAACGCGAGACAAATCAAAGGTAATGCGACTGCTATCACACCGCCCCGGGCACGATTCTTGTTACTATGGGGACATTCGATCCACTTTCCGGGGTACGGTGGCAGTGGAGCATCACTAAATGATGTGGGTTGATCTATACGGTACAGATTTGCGCTGCATGGGGTGGCAGATGTGGCCACGGGATGAACAATTTTCCCAACGGGAAATCCAGAAGCTTACCATTAAAAGGTATTGTGGGAACAAGACCTTAGTCACCTCACAGTAAGGTGTGTGGTACCATACATTAGGCCATGTTGATTTGATTATATGGATGACATCCGTGCGCGCATGAATTTCAGCCAAAAAAAAAAGTTTTCAACCATACTGTAAATCGTATAATGAGCAAATATATACCGTAAAATATTGGAAAACGATAAAGACAACAATGTAAAGAAATGAATTTGAAGACTAGATTATCCACCATACCATACTCCATGTCATTTGTTCACATGGAGTTCAAATGTAGATTTTATAATGAAAGCAACTTTTTTTATTCACACACTCGCATCAGTTTTGGGGTTCCCAGAGGATGTCATCCATATAATCAATCAACATGGCCTTACTAGTGCAGGGAAACAGTTCTGATGTGTACTTACTTATAACTAAAACTTAAAACAAATGTGCAAAGATTGAGTGTTACAAGTCGTTGTGTGCAATATAGCTAGCTGCCGCCGCGCTGCATGCCTGCAAGGCTGGTATGTTACGCCGAAGGGCCAGCTATACCAGCTATACCGATACAGATACAGAACTACATGTAGTAATACAACGGAAACAAATATTCGCGCGGCTGTCAGTTTTGCAGCAGAGAGGTCAACAAACTGATTGGTTCCTACCTGTGCGGTTGGTCTGAGAAGAACGTGGTGGCTCTCGTAGGTTTTACTGTTTGCCGTTCTTCTGAAGTCCCGTACTTCAGCTATCACACAGCCGTTATAGAACACATTCGCCTGGCGATCAGAGAGAAAGAGGTTTCGATCTAGATCTCTATGTTGAACTTGGTAATATATAAAATGGCTAGTAACAGTACTTTAAAAACTAAAAAAAAACAAACAAACATAACATGGCCTCAAACATACAAAAAAGCATGATATATAATTAAACAAACCCCACAAATGAAACTATTAAAGCCGACAGAAATAAGGTTTGATATTTATGCACTTTTGAATGCTACGTACACTATTACCTTAACTTCATGTTTTTTCTCAACTAGGAAAAAGCATAACTTATAGATGCTTTTAGAGTAACATCAATATCCACATCAGTGTAACATGCTTAATTTATCATGTTGAGGAATCAATGCTGACAAAAACTGCCTAACTAGTCTATCACAATCTTAGACAACATAAATATGCACATGTACATTTGTACATGTACATCAATGACTAACTCTTCAAAAATAAAGTAGTCAATCGACATCTTTGCACCTCAATAGTCTGTCTGAGGGACTGGTGCATTTTTCTTACCTGTGATCTCTCTAACAAGTCCACTAGGATTGGAGGTAGCTGTGGGTAAGATGCAAAAGTCTTTTTTGAAAATGTATTAATAACATAGTGAACAAGAAGGTAATGTTAACTTTACAACAAGGTGACATTAGGCAAAATTTTCCATCATAAAGCTCACATAATTTCAGCCACTAAGAGAGTCATTAAGCACTGAATATAAGCTTGTGAAAAAATAACTCTATTTCCAATGACCTAGCGATGTGATGCAAATTGCATTGGCACCACATTACAGTTTAGAGCTTAAATACATTCATCTACTTATCAAATGTACATAAAAAGTAGAAAGATATACATGTATCACATTGTGGTTTCACATCTTGCAATATAGTATAAGACCTTACCTCTTCTGTGTCTAGATAGTCCAGCAAGTCAGACTCTTCATATGGCAGCTTGATTGTTTCTGAGTCTGAAAGGGGAATAAAACAATTATAAGCACCCATGATGTTTATACACACTCTGAAACTTTATAGATCTCTGTTGAACATTAACTTGTACAGCTACAGTACAAGAAGCATGCATTTGATACGCAATTACAATACCAAATACTAATATATGTCCATTCATCATCAATGCAGTTTCTTGTCTTTAATTATTAAGTAGAAATAGAAGTAGCCACAAAGCAACACATGATGAGCAAAACAAATTCTTATGTATATATTATAATATGACGTAGGAGGCTAGAATTATGACTGGGTGTCTCAGCAATGACACCTAGCTGAAACCTGCAGAACTGCAGGTCTTGGCTTGGCTGCAGGTAGGTAAGTGGTAACTGTTGTACAACCCCACCTATACCATTCTTGCCTTTCAGCATCAGGGAGTAGCCCTTGTTGCCGGGGTACAGGTTCACCACCAAGCACGTCAACTTCTCCTTGGTCACCAGCTTGTCTAAGAGGTGAACACTGCTTCTTAACTTCTGAAACAAGGAAAAGGAAAGAAAACATTTAGCAGGCTAGCAGATGCAGCTGAGTGTACCTGTGCTGACCTTGTAGTATTGTAATAATTGTATCATTGCTCATCCGTTGTGTGGCATAACGGATGAGCATTCGGCTCAGAACCAAGAGGTCCCGAGTTTGAGTCCTGCCAAGTCACCAACCTTGTGCCCTTGGGACAGGCACTTCATACGACTTTCCTCACTTCGCTCAAGTGAAAATTAGTATGCCAGAATGATTAAGTAAAGACGAAACAGAGCAAACCAACCAAATCATCTTCCTACATTGGACTGAAACTTGAATATACTGAAAATATACAAAGATTCTGAAAACACAGCAGATTTTGTTGATAGTCTTTATGGGTACGTAATAAAATTTTCACCTTTATTTCATTTCATCTTTTTCTACTTACCTTATTTTCTGGTTCCTTTTCACTTTCATCTACAAAGAGGTCATTCAACTTGTGGTTCAATGATTTCCTGTAAAACAAGTAATATATCTGCTGGTTAGCATACAGACTTTAATTCAAAACATACCAGTACTGGCAGTACATCATATGCACACATATGATATTATATATATTATCTAGCAAGAAAACTTGCAAGTTTGTGAACTGATATTTTATTCTTCTCATTTGAAGAAGAGAGGTGTCTATTCCTAATCTTACCATTTAGAAGGACCAGATGGATGTCTTCTTTTCGGGGGTCTCTGTCTGGCTGCCTGAAGCACATACTGGAAAGGAATATATAAAAAGCCATCTGTAGTGAAGAGCTTTTCTGGGAACTAGTATACAAGGTGTAACAATGAGTAGTAGTCGAGCACTAACTGCCCGGCCCAATGGGTCCTGAACCTTTTGGTTTAATCAGTTGGTACGCTGGTTGTGAGTTGACACACCGTGCAAGTGATGAGGGTTCGATCCTGGGGTCAGTGTCAACCTTCGAGCTACACCTTCCTTTCTCTTGAGTTACAAAGGTATCATGACAACAAACTGTAAAAGATCTGTCAGGCATTTACTCACCTCTGCCCTATCTATAAAGTACTCTATGGCCTTCATTTGCATCTGTAACACAAAGACAATAAAAAGGTAACCATTACGATAATATAAACAGGGGAAAATCATACGCTAATCAATATCATCAATATTTGTAAAAGGCATCCAATTTTTACAATTTCAGGATGGCAAAAACATAAACATATTCTGGATGAGGACACAAGTGTCTGATATTGACATTTACTGACCCGTTTACACCTCAAGATCATAAAAAAATCACTAGAATTAAGAAGTCGTGCTTGCTTTTAAGGAGTGCAAAACTTTAATTGGCGTACTAGTAAACGGACCTAGAAATTACTTGATCAAGCACAAAACAAAAACACAGTCTTGCATCTTGCCCAAACGATGCGATGACTGTTGGGTAGACGGTCACTACCGAGTAAGAAAAAAATATCAGAGGGCAATCTGACGAGTAAGAAACGTCAGCTATCGATTCAAATATAAACCTACAACATTGTGCGTTACTGGAGATGAAATAAAACCTTACATTACCTTTTTGTTAACGAGTTTTTACGTAAAAATTGACAAAACCAGCTTTTTTAGCATCTGTGGGCAGCCATCTTGAAACAAGACTCCATACCCGGCAAAAAATTATTATGTGTGAACAACAACTAGGAAGAAATCTGTAAATTATACTTTCATTTCCATACCAGAAAGATTTGATATACTATTTAGTATCATTAAGTCAAGTATGCTATACAAATTACTATATTTTTATGCTTAACTTGTTACATGCACTAAAATGGTTGACCTATGGGGTCTCGACTAGCCGAATGCGGCGCAACGCATTGTGGGAAAGGCGGGAGACAAGATGGAGTTGACGGGAGACGTCAGCGGCACTTCCTCCCGAAAACCCACCGTTATCCGGCGCGGGACGGCAGGTAACGCACTAAAACTACCTGGTACTGTTAGAGTACCACACAGGCTTTCTTCTGACGCCTTGTGGGCGTTTGTCTACGAAGAAAAATGTTGTTTTAAGCGCTACGAAACCTCGCTTCCGGGTTAGACCGGTTTCTTGGTTTACATATCGGATGTGTGGGGAGGGGAGCGTATTTGACGTATACAAATAACAACAAATATTTGACAACACCGCTGCTTCTATGGAGTCAATTATCAGGTAGTTTAGACGGTTTTAAAGCCATTGGGAGTATATACCACTGGCTTGTTGTAGCATGCGTGGAATTGTTGTTCCATGGCAAATGAACTTGGGTCTTATAAAAATTTGGAACGTCCTGTCTAGCGAGCAAGATCATTTGTTTGTATTTCGAACTAACACGCGACATTCAGCACGTGATCTGGATAGCAAAGATTTAACTTTTTAGTTTCCTCTCTGAATGGTATCGGAGTTAGTATGGAATAGGATATTGCCCTTTGATAAGTGATGAAAGGGGCTCGATCAAAGAGCCGGTCGATCAATACACACAAAACAATGAATAAGTCATGTGACAGGCGGGATCTATAAAAAGTGGTTCCGCCCACTAGTTAATCGGATCACGTTTACATGTACATACAGGATAGACTGTATAATCAAGAAGCTTTCATGTCCTTCGTATAATGTAGGGCTGAGTGTGTCATGCCTTGTCCTGCATTCCATAGATACACACTAGCCTGGTTTAAAGAAATCTTGCCACTTTTCCGTGCATTTGTGCATTGTAATTCAGATATAAATAAATAAGTAACGTTAACCGTTGATATAAATAAGTGATGTGAAAGTTAAATAATTAATGATTGTCAATGTTGTGTACCAGCTACATGAATACCACCGTAGGGTTAATTAGGAAATTAAGAAGCAAAGTAAAAGGGAATTAACCATATGAAATCAACTTCAAACATTGTCTAAGTCTTACTGACTTGTATCTACATGGTTATGGTTGTTTTCAGGCCCTGGCCGTCCTGCCCCGGCCGCCCCCAGCAGACCAGCCCCGGCACCTCCACGCCCACAGCCTGCTGCCAGGTCAGATGTCAGAATCTTCAGATATGCCCAGCAGCCGGTTCACAGTTTTAACTGCACTAGGTTAAAAATGAAGGCCCCCCTAAGTTGTAAACAGTTCTTGTCTAGATACGGGTCTGATATGAGTGTTAAAAGGGTTCTTAGCACATGTACACTGCATATTAGCCCAGGAAATGGTCGGTTGTGGTATTTAGGCACACCACTTGATACCATGTGTTTTTGTTTATCAAAATCTATCTTTAATTACATTATATAGTAGAGGGGATTCATTCCTCAAGCTACCGACATCTTGCACACGCAGTCGTCCCTCAGTAAGACATCTGGAGCCGCATAGTTCCCGTTTAGAACTTTTATCAGCCTGT